TAAATATTAATTATTTTTAATAATTAAATTAAATTAAAATTTTAACAACTTTAATACTTGTCATAAAAATATAATAGTAAACTATAATTATGGCCGATGAAGAGATGAGTACAGTGACCGCCGGTACGGATTGTATATATAATTGATCGAAGATGAGATTGTTGGCAATGACAAAACCAAGTCATACCATTGACCAGGGCTAAATACCTACTTTAGTCCCTCACTTTATTAAATTTATAGGTTTTAACTTCTCATTCTATATTATAACACTTTTAACCCCTTATCTTACTAGATTTATAAGTTTTAACTCCTCATCTATTAAAATCAAAGAAAATAACCATCACTTTATACTAACTGTTAACTCTATAATTGAAAGTAAGTTTTTGTCAACTAACAGTAAGTTTTTGTTAACTAACTATAAGTTTTCTATTAATTAACTGTCAACTAATAATAAGCTAATTTAATGAACAAAATATTATAAAATTAGTTTTGTTAACTCTATTAGCTAAAAAAAAGTATTTATCAACTAATAATTAACTAACAGTTAACTAATAAAATTAATAATCAACTAACAAAACTAACAAAATGTTACAAAATCAGGGTTATTTCTTTCAATTTTAATATGTGATGGGTTAAAAATATCATAATATAAAGTGATAGGCTAAAACCTACAAATCCAATAAGGTGAGGGGTTAAAGATATTATAGTATAAATTGAGAGGATAAAACCTTCAAATTTGATAAGATGAGGGGCTAAATGTAAGTTTTTGCTATTGACCAAAGCCCACTGATTTTTTTATAATATTTTTTTCAATAGGTGGGGTTCACACAGAAAAATTGAGAATTACAAAAAATCTTATGAGAGAGGGGTAGGCCATGTACTTGTCCCCTCCCCAACATGCACCTCCCCGCTAATTGGTGGCAAAAGGTACCATTTTGCCCCTTAACTTTTCGACTTTTAGCATTTTTGCCCTCCGTATTACAATACATGGATTTTTATCCTCAATGTTTTCGAGTTGAGGAAATGAGGCAAAATTTAACGCCAGAACGTCACGTGTAGCACGTGCACCGTTGGCTTCCGTCAAGTATGTGCATGTCAGCGCCAACTCAGAATTTTTTGACAACCTGGCATGCCAACTTAGAACCCCACGAGCGGGAAGTTTACCTGCTACCATTTTTTTGTGGGTCCCACCATAGACCAAAGGTTTGAAAAAAAGGTTAAATCCCCGATTCAATCCCTCAACTTTCATTTTTGAACTAAATTTACCTTCGAACTTAAAAAAGTACTAAAAAAATCTTTCCTTTAATAAATAAAAATTTCTTTTTCTTCTTTTTTCTTTCCTTTCCTTTTTTTTTCTCCTTCTCTTTCCTTTTCTCCTTCCCCTCCCTACTGGGTTCGAAGGAACACAGCACCAGCGCCTGGGTTCCTCGAACCCAGGCACAGGTTCCTCGAACCCAGGTGCTGGGTTCCTTCAAAGGAACCCAGGGCCTGGGTTCAGGGAACCAGGCGAACCCAGCACGCCTGGGTTCGATGGAACCCAGGCGCGGGTTCCTCGAACCCAGGTGCTGGGTTCCTTCGAAGGAACCCAGGGCCTGGGTTCAGGGAACTAGGCGAACCTAGCACGCCTGGGTTTGAGTCGAAGGGTAAATTTTTCTTATCTAGTTTATCTATTTGAAACCAAGTATGAGTGCATGTGCATCTCTTGGATGCTGGAGGGAATAACATCTTTAAACATTCAGGAAGAGCTTTGGAAGATTTGCGAGCTTCTATATTTAACAAATTCCGTCATTTGCCTTTCTCTCTCTTTTTTGCCTTTCATTTCAATTACTATGATACTTCTTCTATGTTGATCCCCCACATTCGCTATTTGCCTCATTGTATCTGCATCTGCGTCTGCATCTTATTCAGTTTTCTTCTGATCTACTTCATTTCCCATTTTTCGTTTCTTAAAATTATATACCCTCAACGTCAAGCTTGCATACCCATCAAATCTCTACTTCCATGAGACAAATCTGATCTTTCTACCATCTTTCAATGGTATGGATTGAACTCTAGTCAACAAAGCAAAAGTGGGTTTTTGTTTTCTCCTTCTAAAAACCAAGAAAAATTGTTTCTTTCTTGGATTTCCTTTCTTTATTTTATTGACATAGTAAAAATCTAACCTTGAAAGCTGTAATGGGTTAATGGGGATTGCAAGTGATTTACATTCTCTCTTCTTTTGTATAGGAAAAACTCCCAGGAGAAGATCAAGATGCTCAGTTTGAAAGTTCAAGACTCATAGAGCAGGATGGCCTTGTTAGGCTTGCCAAGACTCATAGATCAGTAACCCAGGCGCTGGTGTTGGGTTCCTTCGAACCCAGTAGAGAGGGGAAGGAGAAAAGGAAAGTGAAGGAGAAAAAAAAAGGAAAGGAAAGAAAAAAGAAAAAAAAAAGAAATTTTTATTTATTAAAGGAAAGAGTTTTTTAGTACTTTTTTAAGTTCGAAGGTAAATTTAGTTCAAAAATGAAAGTTGAGAGACTGAATCGGGGATTTAACCTTTTTTTTCAAAAAAATTGACAGCAGGTAAACTTCCCGCTCGTGAGGTTCCAAGTTGGCATGCCAGGTTGTCAAAAAATTCTGAGTTGGCGCTGACATGCGCATACTTGACGGAAGCCAATGGTGTACGTACTACACGTGACGTTCCGGCGTTAAATTTTGCCTCATTTCCTCAACTCGAAAACATTGAGGGTAAAAATCCATGTATTGTAATATGGAGGGCAAAAACCCTAAAAGTCAAAAAGTTAAGAGGCAAAATGGTACCTTTTGCCCCTAATTGGTTGCCAATAAAAGAAAATTCAAATCATTTGACATACTAAAAAAACATAAAAGAAGATGCAAATGTGAATGAAAAATACCTTTACGCTGAAGTAATCTTAAGTATGGGTGGGTACGGTTCAATTTTAGTTATAATTAAAATTAAATTATCAATTATTTAAAATTTTAAGTTTTAAATTTTAATAAATATTAATTAAATCAAGAAAAATGAGTTATTAGTTTTAGTTATATATTTTAAAGTAATAATTCAGATTGGTTTTAATTTTCAGTAAAAAAATTTTTATATATTTTTTGTATTTTTTGTATTTTTTGTATTTTTTGTATTTTTTGAATTTTTTGAATTTTTGAATTATTATTTTATTAATTTCAATCATTAAAAAACTAAAAATTACTGAAATAAATAAATAATTTAGTAAAAATTATTTTAAAACCCTCAAAACAAATTTAAAAATCATTAAAAAATTTACATAAAAATTTTTAAAATTAAAATTTTTTATTATATACACCATAATCATTAATTTTTTTTTTTAAATTTTAAAACTTCCCTATCTGAACAGCTGGACCACAGACAAGAAATATCTTCATAGTCGAAACTATTTACGTTAAGGCGCTAGATTCTGCACATTCATTTAGCCAAAACTCATGAACTTACATTCTGAATCTTGTTGAAGTCTATATAT